GCGGAGAGTCAGGGCCCCCCTGGGTGCCGGGAAGGAGTTGGGTGGATGCAGCCTCTGCCCCTGCTAGTGTCATGAGCGGGATGCTGATGACCCGCCCTGGGAGCGAGTTACCAGTGACCCAGGGCTGGGGCAGCACGAGGGTGCAGGTGGTGGTGGTCGGGGGGAGAGCCCAGGGCTGGGGCGACAGGGGGTGCAGGTGGGGGGGAGGGCACTGGTGGGGGGGAAAGGGGGGACCCAGAGCTGGGGTGGCAGGGGGTGCGGGTGTGGGGAGAAGAACCCAGGACTCGGGCAGCAGGGGGGTGCGGGGTGGGGAGAGCCCAGGGCTGGGGTGGGGGGCAGCAAAAAACCTAGACCCGGCCCTGACTGTTGCTTATTTATTATGGCAGCACCTACAGGCTAGGGCCCCTTTGTCCTAGGTACTGTAAAAACATGCCCCGAAAGTAACAAGCCCCCTCAATGCAAGCAAAACTCCTAAAGGTAAAAGACAGTCCCCACTATATTTACAAACACATCAGGAGAGAAAAGAGGCAAGATACTGCTCTCCAGTAATGCTAGAAGAGTGATGCAATGTATAAGAACTTGAAGTAGAAACTAGAGATGGTTGAACAAACTATGTCTGTGTTCTCGTTGACAGATCCATATGTTAACACGCCCCATGCTCAGGATACTGAAGACACATTAAGGACCTCTGAGGTAAATCTGTTTTAAAATAGTTTTACATGAGAGGTACTCCTTGTATACAGCTTTTGGCAATGAGCATAGAGCAGGCAGCCGGGGACCCAATCAGGAGTGGCAGGAGAGGCTAGAAAGCACAGCAGGAAAGGGCCAGAAGGAAGCGCAGTGGGGACAGTTGGAGTAAACAAGGGGGAAGCACAGAGAAGCTGGGGATATTCTGAGAAAAAGGGACGCAGTAGAGGGAACAGGGAATGGGTGGAGCTGAGGTTCCCACACAAAAGGTGGATGGATCCACAGTTTACTCAAAATATGGATATTTAAATGTTATATAAGGAGCTGAAATTCCATCTAGTGACTTCCCTCTTGTCATTCCTGGCATCACCAGGACCCGGGATGGAATTACAGCCCCTCCCCCCAGTGGCTCCACAGCTGCCTGTTATACTCTCTGTACCTGCAGAGGAGCAGTTAAACCCTCAGAAAGGTGTACAATGAGCAGGCCATTTCCTCCTGTGTCAAACAGAACCTTTCCCAGACAGATTGCTGCCGTCTTCCTGTCTCTTCTAGGAGGCATGTTTCTTCGCCATCTAAGCCCCAGCTTGTGCTGCTGTGACTGTGCTGGCCCCCAAGCACTAGCAGTGCTGTCAGGTGCAGGGCCAGAGATGGGACTCCTGTCACACTGACATACTAGGTCAGTTGTACAAGGAGGCAGCTGGATTACTTGTGCCTTTTTTAAAAATAACCCCCAAATACCCAACCTCAGGGGGTAGTTCGTAGGACTCCAGGACCCCCAGCGACTGGAGTCTCAGTGGGACTGGCCAGTTGGGGAGAAGGGATCGTAGGGTATGTCTAGAACAGGGGCTCTCAACCTTTTTCTTTCTGAGCCCCTCCCCCCCAACATGCTATAAAAACTCCACAGCCCACTTGTGCCACAACAACTGTTTGTCTGCATATAAAAGCCAGGACCAGTGTTAGGGGGTAGCAAGCAGGACAACTGCTTGGGGCCCACGCTACAGGGGGCCCCATGAAGCTAAGTTGCTCAGGCTTCAGCTTCCGCCTTGAGTGGTGGGGCTAAGGGCTTCAGCCCCACATGGGGGTGGGGAAGGCTTCAGCTTTCTGCCCTGAGCCCCAGCAAGTCCAATGCCGGCCCTGCTTGGCGGACCCCCTGAAACCTGTTTGTGGCCCCCCAGGGGGCCCTGGACCTGTGGGTGAGAACCATTGGTCTAGAATAACCTTGGGGTGTAATTGCGGCTTGAGCTGACATACCCGAGCTAGCTTTGATCTAGCTAGCTTGGGTCCTAGAGCAGTGAAGCCACTATACAAACCCACTCAGAACCCTGGGCAATTACTCCTGGGGCTAGCCCATGCAGAAGCCCATGGTACCACAGCTGCTCCAGTATCCAAGCTAGTTAATTAAAGCTGGCGTGGATATGTGTACACGGGCTGCCATCACACCCCGTGATTACAGTGTAGACATACCCTTACAGGCTGTATGTGCCGCCTCCCAAACAAATGTGATCAAAAATCGGGTCAACTTATTTTATGCATCTGCACAACAGCATCATCTTCTAATACACACAGCTATTCAGAGTAGCCTATCCAAAGGGGTCAGAAGAGAGAAAGTAAACGAGAAGGATTTGTGATGAACCAGCTATTAGCTCAGCAAGTTGTAAGCTTGTAACATCTTTTCACTAAACCTCGGCTAGCTTGGGTCTCAGATTGCTCCCCCTCTTTTCTATTGATAAGACAAACCTGGGCTGACTAAAAGGAAAGAGTCCCCTTATGCCGATAATGCTCATGTGATATGGCTCCACGGGCTAGTAGTGGCATCAGAAGCAGATACTGGAGTCTTTCTTTAGACTGAAGGTGAGCTGCAAAGGACTTTCTAAAACACTGGGTTTGTGCCCTTTTTTGCTGCTTTCTCTTGGATGCAGAATACTTGGAGGGGTTATTTAAAAACAAACAAACACCCCCCTCTTTTCTTTAACCTTTACAAATATTAGGCATGTCAAGCCTGGTCTTCTCTGATTTTGCTAGAGAACAGGTTGGGGTCTTCCATGTCTATTATGAGCTTCTACACCTCAGCTGACAGGGTGGTGATGTGCAATCTCTAACAAAAACACCACTGTCTCCCAAGTGTTCATCAGTCACAGGAGTCAAATAGGTGTAAAACAAACAAAAAAAACCAATCTGAGTCTGGCTAAAAATCCCTTCTCTTCCCTGTTGCTAAACTTTCACTCCTGTGATTTTTCTTGTTCTCTAGTTGCCAGTAGGGTGGACAAGGCCTGAATTTCTAAAGTGAAAAAAGAAAAGAGAAATCTTTTTAGAAAAATTATTTCAGGGCTTTTTCATAAAGAAGCAGTTAATAGCAGTAGCCCGAGTTTTTCTGCCCTCTGCAGGTCTGTGCTAGCCAGGAGAAAGATTTGGACTTACGGTCAGTCTGCTCCTGACTATGCGTTATCAGCCCTTGTGGAGATCAGCCTTGAGGTCTCATTTACCTAAAAGGAGACAAACGCACAGACTGATGGGTGAAGACACAAATACTCAGAGGGATCCATGCCACTGGCCTTGTTATTTTCCGAGACATGGTCCAATGGACCCTAAACGTAGAAAACATGAGTCAGTTGTTACTTTTCCCATCCTTCAGTGAAAACATCTTCATCCCCCTGAGCTGCTTTCACCCCATCTGGTATTCATAATAATTCACAAGCTCCAAGCTAAAGTGGCAAATGCTTGGGGAAACTGGAGCCAATACAACAGCTGTAGCTCATGTGAGTAGTCACCTTAACTTAAGGACAGGGTCAGTAATGAGGAGGGCTGATATTTACATGGTCCCAGGAAATGGTTTGGATTGAATTTGTTAAAGGAAATCAATAGGGTGCTGTTCTTTGCCTGGCCAGATGGCAGCCTCCCTTCAAGATCTCTGTGTGCTCATCAAGTAATCCAGGCACTGGGCTAGAAGGTCAGCTCTTTTGTTGTCCAGCAGCTTGGGTTAGAGACTGCTTAGAAAACTGTGACACCATAATCCACATGCTGAAGAGGCTATAATTACATCTAGTGCCTCCAGCCTCATTCCTGTCATTACCAGAACCACAGCTGGAATTACAACACCGCCCCCCAGTTAAGAGCTTCTTGTTATTCATTCGGTAGCTGTATAGCCCTGAAGAGCATGAATGAGACAGAATCATACATTGACTCTTTACTCTTCTCATGGTGCAGTTTGCCTTGCCCTACGAAGACGCTGGAAATAAAGGCTCCTCATTACAAGAGAAAACAGGTATCTAGGTACTTATATGACCCCCATCACTGTCTGATCTAAGTGCATCCCAATTGTTAATGGCTTTTAGACTCACAGAACCCTGGTGAGGTAGGGACATATCATCCCTCTTTGACAGGCTGGTAACTGAAGCACAGGGTGTTTTAAATGACTTGCCCAAGGTCACACAGGCAGTCTGTGGTTGAGCCAGGAATTGAACCCCTGACCTACCTGAGACCTAGTCCAGTGTTCTACCCACTAGACTATCTTTCTTACCCCCAACTAGCCTTTCACTGACAGTATTTCATCAAATCTATGATTACTGGTTAGCACACTGTTGTCTATACAAAGCTTGGCCATAGTTTATTACTAGCCTCCCTGGCTGCCAATATGGTGCAAGAGTGCAGAGTTTATATGGTACATATTGACAAGTCATACCCCTGTTTTGTTTCCTCCACAGGAGATGCTGCTGTTTCAGAGTCCTCCACTCCCAGTTCAGGGGCTTCAGTGCCTGAGAAGGTGCCTGGTGTTCTGTCCACAGTTTTCTCACAATCATGCAGCAGCCCAAGTGACATTTCATCACCAACCCCAGCGACCCCTTAGAAAATTCATACCAGATGCAAAACTTGTATGTCAAAGAGAATAAATCGCATATTCAACTATTTGGGTTTGGGTGTTCGTCAGTTACTTTAGTGATTAATCGTAGATTAAATCTCATGGAGTTAAACAAACCCTAATAGAAGAAAGAGACAAATGCAGGGAAACCTAAACAAAAGGACTAGTGAGTTATTCTTTTTATAGGTGGAAGATGTCACAGCCCAGCTGCCTGCCATCCTGTCCAGCCTGATGGACAGCTGGGAGTGCTGTCATGGAGGCCAGCAGACATCTCAACGTCCTCCTTCAGAGCAGCAGCAAACTTAGTGCTCCCATTCTTCAGTGACATAAGGTACCAGGAACTAACTGCTTTCCCTGGCTTGCGCCAGGTGCTAATGCAGCACATTTAGCTGCGTCGGTAAACATAATGCTTTGTGGCTTCTGCATCAGAGAGACAGGTGCTGGTATAGCTGTGTTTGTTAGGATGAGCCCTGCTGTCATGTGTACCAGAGACAACCATGCTGTAGCCATGAGCAGTTAGATAGCCCTGATGTCATCTATTTATCAGAGGTGCAGGCCCTGCCAGAATGTCTCTTGGACCCCACATCTCATCAGGCCTCAGGCACACAATTAAGAACATGTAACCAAAGGGAATTTCAATAGCCCTTTTCTTTTAACTGAGGGCAGATAATGCTCCTGTTTGTCTCCCAATTAACAGGCCACTTTGAATTGCCCCAGCAGTTCTTGTTGACCAATAGGACCTGAGAACTTGTGAACATACTGTACAAACTCTCTAACATTCAGTCATTGATTAATTCTCCTGCTCGTGGAGCGCTGAGTGCACAATTCAGTTCACCTCTTTCCAGAGAGTCTGGCTCCTACCAATGTTATGGCTATGTCTATGTTAAGGCTGAGGCAGGTGAGATCAGAAGCCACGACATCCCTCCAGCATATGCAAGACCTTCCTCAAGATCTTCGCCAACCAGCTTTTGTTGGATTAACCACATAAAGCTGGAGGGTTGGTAGGGATTCCGGCACACCGAGCAGATGACCAAGCCACCTGAGCCGGCATAGTCATTTGAGAAGACGTTGGTGGCTGGTTGGTCCAGTGCCTTACATCCTTGTTCATAACATGGTGGAACCACCATACTCCTTCAATATGCTGTTACTATTTCATGTCAAAAGCATCCAGCTGGTGCCTTTGCATCTCTGTGGTGGCTTCAGAGCAGGAGTGGGCAAACTATGGCCCGCGGGCCGGATCCGGCCTGTCAGGGCTTTGGATCCGGCCCGCGGGATTGCCAGCCCTGTGCAGCTCCCAGAAGTGGCCAGCACCACGTCCCTGCAGCCCACACCCCAACCCCCTGCCCTGAGCCCCCCCACACTCTGCACCCTCTCCTGCACCCCAACCCCCTGCCCTGAGCCCCCTGCCACACCCCATACCCCTCCTGCACCCCAACCCCCTGCCCTGAGCCCCCTGCCACACTCCATACCCCTCCTGCACCCAACCCCCTGCCCTGAGCTCCCTGCTGCACCCCTCCTGCACCCCAATCCCCTGCCGCACCCCACACCCATCCTGGACCCCGAGCCCCCTCCTGCACTCTGCATCCCCTCCTGCACCCCAACCCCCTGCCCTGAGCCCCCTCCCACTCTGCACCCCCTCCTGCACCCCAACCCCCTGCCCTGAATCCCCTCCCACACTCCGCACCCCTCCTGCACTCCAACCCCCTACCCTGAGCCTCCTCCCACACCCTGCCCTGAGCCCCCTCCTGCACCCTGCATCCTTCCTGTACCCCAACCCCTTGCCCTGAGCCCCTTCCTGCACACCACACCCCCCACACTCCCTTCCGCACCCCAACCTCCTGCCCCAGCCCTACATTCATGGCCCTGCATACAATTTCCCCACCCAGATGTGGCCCTCATGCCAAAAAGTTTGCCCACCCCTGCTTCAGAGATTTCAGAGCCATGCATATATATACAGCGCTGAAACACTAACAGCTGAAAAACAAAAAATTAGTCCTCTCCATGATGCATTTATAGTGTATGCAAGCATGGCTTAGATGCAGCCACACACTCCTGGGCTGTTATCACATCATACATGCCGATCTTATGTGCAATAATATTTCACAGGATGTGTGTGGTTATGGCTTTATGCATAAGGAGACAGATAAAAGATGTGTGACGATACACACGTCGGAGTCTGCAGTACACGGGGGTTGAACATGCTAGACAGGGTTATGATCCCATCCAGCCAAGCCATTTTATCCATGGAAACATTGTGGGCCAGATTCTGCCACTCTTGCTCACGCTGAGTAATGCGTTACTCCATGAATAGTCCCATTCATTTCTGTGGGATGACTCAGAGTAAAGTGCACCTCTGCCAACAGACCCTTCACTTGTGGATTCCCACAAAAATCAATTCTCTCTCCAGTCCTACTCAACATTGACTGGCACTCACTAGGTGAACTGATCAGACAACGTGGACTCAAGTGACAGCAATATGCAGATGACACACAGCTTTACTTATCCTACACCAGCTGGTCCCTGCGGGAGAGGACTCCAGAAACAAAGCCTCAGTTGGCATGGTTGAACATTCAGTGAGGCCCCCTCACAGGGGATCCAAAACTCCCTTCCTGATCTTGTCACTGGAAAAAAATATCTTCCAGTTGGATAATCATTCAGCCTACATCTACTAACTCAGCCCCAGCCCTGTGAAGCTAGGCTTGTATGGACACCAGCTGCCCTCTTTCGGGTCCACAGATTCATCATGCACAGCCCTCTTCCCTGGCCTACTGGATGAGGGGACTTGGTCTGGTTCCCCCTATCGGCTTACAAGGTAAGACAGTTTGAGAAAGAACATTAAGAAGAGACACAGAAAACAGGTCAGGTGTAGAAATGTTCCATTTCCTTTTATTCAGATGTTTACATCCAGGTTGCTGGCAGAATTCTTTACACATGTGACACTTCAGCTTACACGTTTGAATTCCAGACATTCCCACAGTCCCTAGGAGGAGGATATTGGTCTTTACATTTTGAAGACTCGCTGCTTGAGACTCCACCTTTGTAGCCTACGAGCCCTGAGAATCTTGTCTCTCGAGCAGAGTTTCCATTAGGTTAGACAATCTCACTGCCTGAGCTGATACTGACTGCACATGCTCGTGGATACCCTTTGGGACTTGGGAGGTTCTGAGTGGGAGCACAGATACATTGCACTGGTAGAGAGCAACATAGAACCTCACACCAACAGCAATAACAGCACAGAACAATCTGCCATCAACTTCTCATGCCTGGTGGAGACCACATTTATGCAGTCAACAATATAGAGCTTTTCTTCAGGGAGTGATAGCAGAAGGCTGCTTCCTCCGCTCTTGCCTCATTTTCAGAGCCAGCATTGCCCTTCGATACAAGTCTGAGAGAAAATAAAAACCCATCATTAATAACAAAGGAAAGATTTTAAATCCTGCTGCTGAGCAAGACAATGAGAACCCACCAACCTCTTGGGGCAAAACTGATCACCAGCGTGCAGGACTCCTGTTCCTGGACAGTATATTATGGGCCTGATTCAAAACCCATTAGATCAGAAGTTCTGGGCTTGATGCTGAAGTTATGGGGTGAGGTTCTCTGGCCTGTGTTATGCAGGAGGGCAGACTCACTAGATGATCACAATGATCCCTTCTGGCCTTACAATCTATGTAGTCAATAGAAAGGCTCCTATTGACGTTGATAAGCTTTGGATCAGGCCCTATGACAGCATGAGACCCCCTCCCAATGATAATGCTGAGCACAGACCTTGCTTGTTTCCCAGACAACAAAGCTTACCCACAATTCATAACTCCCTATCCGCTCCTTTCTCCAGCCCTCTTCAAATAAAGAGGAGCAGGAGCAAGTCTACTTCTTTCCAGCAAGTGTAGCAAGATGCTCTAGAAAAGGAATTCATTCTGCATCAGTGGCTGGGGTAGCTTCCTGCTTGGCTCGCTGCCACCACTCAGCCACACATAAGCTAGCTCTAAAGAAAGGGTAGTTTTAAGTCCAGCAAGAAGATGACTAAAGGGGCTCTCTGTTCATCTAAGCAAAAACTGCCCATCTGAGCCAAAATAACCTCCAAAATCCTGTCTAATAACCTTAAAGATATTCTCCCATCCCTCGTGTGGAAAGGCCAAACAGCATTAACAATCCACTTCAGCTAATGTATGCAAAAACATTTATATCATTCACCAGCCACCATCATAAAAAAAGGCAGCTGGCTTCTTTCGGGGATAAGTTCTCTGAGAGAGTAGAGTCACTCACCCGGTGCAGACTTTTGAGATATAACTTTGGAAAATCAAATGAACTTTGATGTCTGACAATCCCTTGACAGCAGTCCCAGCTAAAGGTCTGAAGTATTCCCCTCCTTTCTGGACAGGCTGTCCCCTATCCCCATTCCTTTTCAGCCTCACTCTCAAGCCCTCAAATCAGACTTCACCCCTAGGAATAGAGGGCATCTGTGATGGAATACACCCCTGTATTCACACTTGACACACTATTGTAATAATCTATGTACAAGGTATGCCTTGTAAGGCATCATTTGAAAACTTGTAATTCACTGGTCAGTATTGTCCTGATAACATACGTGTGGCAACAGTGTATGTGAAGTTATAAGATTTCCCCGTTCCAAACCCAACAGCCCCACCTAAGCAGAAGTTGGTAAACAGGTCTGTCCTAAACAAAGGAATGTGTGCTTGCCTTAATTTGCATTTAAGCAGTAAACAGAGTCATCAAGCAGGAAGGGAAAACAAAGAAAGCTCTAACAGGTGCGAAACCCCCCCCAGCAGGGAACATCCTTCTACATAGACTATTTCCTGGTTCTCAGCTGGAAATGTTTTTCCAAGAGGGGGACTGAAATTAATAAAAGGAGGAGAAAACACCCCCAAGGGATCCCTTTCTCCCTGCCCATCACATTCTCCGAACCTCAGAAGACAAAAGGAAACAGCCATTTGACTCTGGGGGGTGGCTCCTGACCTGAAGAGTTTCGTCAGTAATCTTGCCGAAAGTATGTGGTGAGAAATGTTGCTAGAATCTAATACAATTTGTTAAATTAGGCACTAGTAAGCATTTTGTCTTTATTTTTCATGTAACTATTTCTGACTTTTATGCCTCATTATTTGTATTCACTTCAAATCTCTCTTTGTAGCTAATAAACTTGTTTTAGTGTTTCATCCAGTCCAGTGTGTTAAAATGTCTGGGTAACTTCATTTATCATGATACGCTGATGTATATTATTCCCTTAAAGGAATAATGAATTTAATATTTGCGGACTGTCCTGGAGAGGGCCGGACAGTACAAGATGTACATTTCTGGGGGAAAGTCTGGGACTGGGAGTGTGTTGGGGTCATCCTGTAGTATAACCAGGCTGGTGAGAGCCAGGGTATGACTGGCAGGCAGCAGTTACACAACCACATCTGGGAGTGGCCTGCCTGCTGGTGGCTGGTTATGAGCACTCCAGTTGGAGGCTACGGGAGCAAGGCATGGCAAGGCACCCCAGGTTACAAGGCAGGAATGACACAGCCACTGACTAGTCTGGATTATATGCTGGTATGTCACAGTATCAGAGTTGCCTTGAACCACTGTATGTTCTCAGTATCCTCTGGGCACATCTGGCTATCCCTTTTAAACCTTGATCTCCAATACCCACCCAGATAACCATCACTGGTCAGTCTGGGACCATCCCAGGCTACAAGCTGTGCTGCAAAACAAATCAAACCAATACCTCTCACAACTCCTTGCTGACTGAACATACCATTCCCAACCATTCCTCAGGCCAGCAACAAGTTGGGGGAAGATACTGACTGCAAACAGCATTAAATAAACAAAATAAATTTGTTAGTCTCTAAGGTGCCACAAGGACTCGTTCTTTTTGCTGATACAGACTAACACGTCTGCTACTCTGAAACCTGCAAAGAGGATTCCCCGTGGTCAGTTTGAAATCCACCAGTAACTTGACGCAATACAAACAAGCCATATCATTTCACAAGCTTTCCTGATCCAAGAAACACAGACGATAGCAGATCGAACCCTTCCCACTCTTTGCAGGAACATGGACAGCAGATGTACAGCATCCCCTCCTGCATACACACTTCACCTGGGAAATACTGACCAAAGGTACCCGAGATTCCTTCATTCTGTGGCTCCAATGAGGACTCCTGGGACTTGATTTTATTTTTAATTTTCTTCTTTTTCTTCTTTGTGCTCTGCCCTGGATTAAATGAAATGAAGTTGGATTTAACAGTGGGACACGGATTTTTTGTGGTCATTACACTAGGTGGGAAAACTTTGCCCAACAGCTTTCTGAGAACATCAGTATTTTCCTCCCCATTCTCACAGCAACACCTGCCAAGGACGGCAAAGATGTTCTGGAAAGTCTTCTCTTCCTTTCCCCCTCCCATCCGCTCTGCTCCATGCAGCTAAACTCCAATTAGCTGCTCTAAACTATCTACATTTCAAAAGTCACTGTTTAGTACCTGACAGGTCTGTGTCCAGTTATAGAGAGAGTTGATGTATTAAGGCATGAGAGTTTTCTATGTTACAAACATAACTTATATTTCTATTACCAGGTTTATTTCTATTACCACTCCCTATCTTCAAGGGTTAATAACACATCTGCGGGAAATGTCCTGTAATACAAAGCAGGGGTTATTGGTTTCAGGCTTGTGTTTTTTAAATGCTCTTAACCAAAAAGACATCCATGGGTTTGATCTAATTTATTGGATCAAAAATCCATTTTTAAATCCACAGTACAGGTATTTCATAGGTCTTCAAACTCAGTACATGTTCCAAAATATTTTATCAAAAGAGGATGTGTTTCCAGTAGGAAGACACATCCCCCCACACGCACTCACAAACTGTGCAGTGCATATGGAATGGGATGGTACAGGTAACTATTTTTAAAAACAGATCAAGTTTTCTATGACCTTCCAGAGAAGAGGCACTCACATGACCCTGTAGCAGTATGTCTAACCATGCTGTGAAATGTCCTGTGGCTCAGGAAATCTGCTAACCCCTGATCATGCTTGGACTTGGACTTTCAGAAAGCCTTTGATAAGGTCCCTCACCAAAGGCAAAGCAAAGGAGCAAAGTAAGCAGTCATGGGATAAGTGGAAACGCCCTCTCATAGATCAGTAACTGGTTAAAAATAGGAAACAAAGGGTAGGAATACGTGGTCAGTTTTTACAGTGGAGAGGTAAATAGCAGGATCACCTAAGAATCTGTATGAGAACCAGTGCTGTACAACATATTCATAAATGACCTGGAAAAAGGGATAAATAGTGACGTGGAAAAGTTTGCAGATGATACAAAATTACTATAGATAGTTAAGTCCAAAGGAGACTGCAAAGAGTTACAAAAAGGGATCTCACAAAACTGCGTGACTGCAAAAGAAAATGTCAGATGACACTCAATGTTGATAAATGCAAAGTAATGCACCTTGAAAAAAGTAATACCAATGATACATACAAAATGATGAGGTCTAAATTAGCGGTTACCATTCAAGAAAGATCATGGAGTCATCGTGGATAGTTCTCTGAAACCATCTGCTCAAATGTGAAGAGGCAGTCAAAAAAGGTAACAATGTTAGGAGCCATTAGGAAAGGGATAGATAATAAATTAGAAAATATCATAATGCCACTATATAACTCCATGGTACGCCCACACCTTGAATATTGCATGTAATTCTGGTTGTCCCATCTCAAAAAAGATATTAGAATTGGAAAAGGTACAGAGAAGGGCCACAAAAATGATTAAGGATATGGAACAGCTTCCATATGAGGAGCAGTTTAAAAAAATTGGGACTGTTAAGCTTGGAAAAGAGACAACTAAGGGGGGATGTTATAGAGGTCTATAAAATCATGACAGGTGGAGAAAGTGCATAAGGAAGTGTTATTTACCCCTTCACATAACACAAGCACTAGGAGTCACCCAATGAAATTAACAGGCAACAGGTTTAAAACAAACAAAAGGAAGTCTTTCTTCACATAATGCAGTGTCAACCTGTGGCACTCATTGCTAGGGGATGCTGTGAAGGACAAAAGTATAACTGGATTCAAAAAATGAATTAGATAAGTTCATGGAGGATAGGTCCATCAATGGCTATTAATCAAGATGGTCAGGGACACAACCCCATGCTCTGGGTGTCCCTAAACCCCAGACCGCTAGAAATGGACTGAATGGCAGTGGATGGATCACTCAATAAATTGCTCTGTTCTGTTCACTCCCTCTAAAGCATCTGGCATTGGCTGCAGTTAGACGACAGGATACTGGGATAGATGGACCATTGATCTGACCCAGTATGGCCGTTCCTATGTTTTTATGCTTAGCATGTGGCATTCAGGGGGTAACTACATACTCACTAGAGAAGAATAAGTTCTGCAGATATTTATGTCACATGGACCAGACAGTGACAGATTCATTGGCAGGTGGCCTACACCACAGCACCCAAAGCAGGTTGACTCAGAGGTTCAAATTCCACAAAAAAGTTCCTTAGCTATGGCAGTAAAGCCTTATAGGGATCTGCTACCACCTGTTTAGTATATTAGTGGCTGCAGCACAAGGATTTCCAATTCCATGGTGAGGGAATGGGGAACAGGTACATGTACTTCTTGATACCACTGCAGGATTTGGAGGACAGGCTTAGTAGAGAAGGTCACAAACCCCAGGAGAGGGCAGGAATCAGGCCACCGTCACAACCCACCATCTGAAAATAACATGCTAGATGAAATTCAGAGGGCCCATGTGATGGGAACACCCTGGTTGGACCTGCCCTGATTGTTTGCAGGTTTGGTTATAAACTGGACCCACCCTGACTTGAAGTGGGTGCTGGATTCCCGCTAAACTTTTCACACAGCCTTAGTGTTTACATGTGCGAGATGTGCTGTTCGGATTCCCCTGGCTTGAAGTGGTTTCCATCATATACAGGGTTTACAGTTTGGTTCAATGGCTCTCAGCACTCCCACTATACAAATTGTTCCAGCACCCCTGCTAGAACCTTCTTTCAGTCTGACGCCTACTAATACCGTTACCTGCCGGGAGAAGAGTTGTCCCCTGGGGGAGTGGTTTCTCCTGGCCAACTCTGTTGCTGTGGAGGAGCCCAACTGCAGCACTTGCTCTGTTCTCTCCTCCCCAAGCTTTCCCTTCCTCTTCATCAGCCATGCTCCCACACTGCACCAACCCTTTCTTCTTCACCTTCCCTTTCTTTCTCCTTCTCTTGGGTACCTTTGGGCCTTCCTCCTTCTGTACGGGGAAGAGGTGGGGGAAGTCCATTACCAGAAGTCAGTCCCTGTTTGGCGGAATAGTCACAGAAACAGCTATATTAAGGGGTGAGGAATGAGTGGAGGGGCTGGTTACCTGTGAGAGGGTGTTCTGGATGGGCTGTAGAGGTTTGTACTCCCCTATCTTGGCGCTTCCTTCTTGGGAACTCTCCCTTCTGGCCAGTAACGCCCTAGGGACAGGAAAGCACAGACAAATTAATAAATTGACACCCCACCCCCCGCAATATTTTTCCTCCCACAGCCCTTAGCTGCAGTGTCCCCTGCTGCCCGGCTGTGGCAAGGAAGGGCACACCACCAGACAGCAGGAATTCAGAGACCAGAGCGTGGATGCCTATGAACTACAGGCCCAAGTGAAATCCTGTCCCCACGCTCTTGCCCCGTTGAGGAGCTCAGAGGCGCAGGTCCTCGGATGCTGACGGAGGCCCTTAACATTCTGTAGCATCTCTCCAGCCAGCCATTCCATGGAGCCAGTCCCAGGCCTCTGCTGAGCATGTGACCAAGAGCCCCCCTGTATGCCTGAGGGTGCTTCTGTCAGCTCCCAGCAGGCATCCATCACTTTCCCCGCTCATGGACCTACAGCAGCCACACCTCATGCACCAGCTCTTGTTCCCTGAGGGCTTTACCAGAGGCCCCATGTACATGCCCTGCCCAAAGTTCTCTCCCCCAGTCTGGTCCCAGGGAAGCGCCTCCCCACACCCCATTGTCACCATGCCAGCTAAAATGGCCGCCTCTTTCATGCTCCCAGTTTTGAATATAGCCACCCCTCCCCCCATTGGTTTGCACACACGGGCTCAGCTCTCGAGGCACCAGGGGAGATGCTGGCACAGCCCCTGCTGGGAGATGGAAGTGCGCGAGGAAGTTCGCAGCTACTCCAATATCACTAGGAATGGGTTAGTTACTGCGTATCGTGAAGACCCTCTTGAGTCCTATAATTACAGAGCTCTGCGCATCACTTTTCGTTGTGGTGCAGTGTCGTTCTGGAGCCGGATTCTGCTCCCATTTTCACTGGTGTAACTCCTTGGGCTTCGCTGGAGTTATTCCTGACTTACACCGGTGTAAGGGAGAGGAAAAGAGTGAAAAATGTGCTAGCTCTGGGGAGGAAGGGAAGCCTTTGGCTTTGAAGAATGAATCCCCCTCTTCTAGGCTTGCTGTCTGCACCCAGATCCACAGTTGAAATACACTGATGTCAGACCAAGGGCAGGGCATGGCCCAGAATATTAACTCTCCATAGAGCAAACCTCTCCCCCCGTGTCTGGCTGTGGGCCCGCGCTGCTCTCCTGGGAGCCTCTTGCTCTCGGGGGGCTGGCTGGTCAGGGCTGTCTTGTTGTACCCGGGCACTCAGGACACTGTAGTTGATGGCAATGGTGTGCAGGAGCCAGCGGAGTCCCTGCAGGATGGTCCGGGACTGGCTTTTATGCAGACTTTTGGTTGCTGAAGATGGCTCCTGTGGGCAGAGAAAGCCTGAGTCAGCATCTGCAGCAGCAGCAGCATGACAGCAAAGCAGCGAGGGGGAAAGGTACCTGAACAACTGCTGAGAGCAGCTTACCACAGGGAGAAGGCCAGCTGCCTGGCTTCTACTATTGCAACCAGGGGGAAGTCCCTGTATGGCTCACTGGCACAGTGACTGCTACAGATCACAAGAGTCCCAGATCAAGGTTAGCAGTAACATGCAGGACACACATCTGATTGCCCAATTAGGCTAAGGATTAAGTCAGCTCTAGTGTCTGGCCATCAGGTTGCAGACCTGGGGCCGTACCATAGATTTCTGTATCTGAGACAGAATCACCTGATCGGCAAGTTGGAGGAAACCTGCTGAGTCCTTTGACATGAGATGGCCTGGATAGGAGAGGGCTAGCAGGAAATGGCTCCCTGGTTGCAACGCATAGTGTGGCAAACCCAGGACAAACAGCTACAAAGGTGGGGGGGAAGGTAGTAATCAGTCCCAGGGGGTTAAAAAGGCCTCTCCCAAGCCACTGAAGAGAGAGAACCATGGGGAAATAAGGTTCAGCTGGGCAAGGGGTTACTAGGGAACTAATTAGGTTCAGCTGGCTGCAACTGCTTGGGACCTTTTTAAACCCTCCCTGGCATGGAGGGGGGGGTGTGAGAGAACCAGGGAAGCTGCCAGTAAGCTAGGAGCAGTAAGGCTCTGAACCCTTCCAGCAAGGAAGGCTGCACTCTGTCCCCAGAAGGGAAGATAAACAAGCACAAGGGACTGACTGAGGGAAGGAATAGCCAGACCCTGTGCTACCTACAGGTATTTGCTTTGCCCAAGCCTGGGTCTCCAAGGCTAAAAAGGACTGAGCCTGCTGAGGAGAAGAAGGTACTTTGCCACAATATGGAGAAGTTTCCCCTCTCCCACATAAGATCTCGAAGTGCAGAGAGACTGACAGCATCCCAGCATGCTAAGCCACTCCCAGGCTGCATGGGGAATCCTGCTCCAAAACCCCCACAGGCCGCCACCAAGTAAACCAAGGACAATCTCAGCTGAAGCAGTGTTTATATCCTCTGAGGACCTCCGCATAACATGGTCACATACTTGAACAGGTCCAGTAGAGGGCACCGGTGACAAACACCTGCCTGTATATGACATGCCCTTCCACCCAGTGGAATCCTAATCTCAACCTCACAGTGAGCGGACTGCTAGCTGCAAGACAGCCTGAGTGGTGTGGATTATGGTTTAGGCCTTATTTTTATTAGGCTGTCATGGGTCCAATGGCCCTTCAGGAGAATTAGGGCCTACTTGGCTCACAACGACCCTGTGGGCTACACCTGAGGCTAGGTCTACACTACAGCGGGGTTCCGACCTAAGATACGCAACTTCAGCTACGTGAATACCGTAGCTGAAGTTGCGTATTTTAGGTCGGCTTACCTGGCGGTGAGGACGCGGGAAAGTCAACCGCTGCCGCCGACTCCGCTACCGCCTCTTGTCGAGGTGGATTTCCGGAGTCGACGGTAGAGCCATCAGGGATCGATTTTACCGCATCCTCACGAGACGCGGTAAGTCGATCCCCGATAAACCGATTGCTACCCGCCGGATCGGCGGGTAGTGAAGACGTAGCCTGAGAGCAGGCAGTGCTGCCCCTTTAGCTTATAGCAATGGAGCAGCTGAGCTAGAATAGTGTAAAGCAGTGGTTCTCAAAGCCGGTCCGCCGCTTGTTCAGGGAAAGCCCCTGGCGGGCTGGCCGGTTTGTTTACCTGCCGCGTCCGCAGGTTCCGCCGATCACAGCAGGGCCGCCCAGAGGATTCAGGGGGCCTGGGGCAAAGCAATTTCAGGGGCCCCTTCCATTAAAAAAAGTTGCAATACTATAGAATACTATATTCTCGTGGGGGCCCCTGTGGGGCCTGTGGCAAATTGCCCCACTTGCCCCCCCCTCTGGGCAGCCCTGTATCACGGCTCCCACTGGCCGTGGTTCGCCGCTCCAGGCCAATGGGGGCTGCAGGAAGGGCGGCCAGCACACCCCTCGGCCCCGCGCCGCTTCCTGCAGCCCCCATTGGCCTGGAGCGGTGAACCGCGGCCAGTGGGAGCCGCGATTGGCCGAACCTGCGGACACAGCAGGTAAACAAACCGGCCCGGCCCGCCAGGGGCTTTCCCTGAACAAGCGGCGGACCAGCTTTGAGAACCACTGATGTAAAGGAAAAGTTCCTTAAACGGAAAGGTGAGAGAAGGAAGCGCTTGCAAGCAAGGCGCTGCAGCTGCTGCAGGCTGGGAGGAGCCCACAGGAGGTAGAGCAGCCCTGGGTGGGGACAAGCCCTGAACGAGGGCTCAGCGTTGACAGTGACAGCCACAAGAGAACCATCAGGAGACAGCCCTGGAGAAGGGAGAAAGTGGTGGAGCTCCTGTCATTAGGCTCTGAGAAGAGAGCTGGCCTAGGCCTCCCAACCAGAGAGTCTACATGTAAACACTGGCTCCTAGGAAGGGAATAAGGAGAGAGAAGAAACCCCCAGGGAGCAGAGTAGACTCTCTTGGGCGAAGTCCTGAGTTAGGGCCTACAATGGATAGAAGAAACCCTTGAGAAGCAGGTTGGTTTGGCCCCTGTGAGAGGAGTCCTGGGACAGGGCTTGTAACTGGGAGACCCCAGAGGTAACCTGCCAGAGTCCCTGGGGGACGGAGGCCACATGGGGAATCCTGCTGGAGAAGCGGTAGATGTTAGTTTGGCCTGAGAGGGGCTGAAGAATTATGACTTTGGATTTGTTAGGACTTTTGTGTGGACTTTTTTGTTGCCCCTGGAGGGTTTGGATTTTGACTTGGCTGGAGGGCTGAGCCACGCAAGACCTGGCGAGAGGCAGGCATCCAGTAGGAGGCACCGGGGATGAGGACCCCTTACAGCATTGTGCCTTGACACAAGGGGATGCTACAGATGGTGAGTACACCCCCCTCCATAGGCCAAATGCTTCTCAGCCGCTCCCTGTTAAATACTGGTGATGGGATACTAGATACCAAATAAATAATGTCCTTTAATGTCCTCACCAATGCTGAGGTGGTGGCATAAAATGAGGAGAAATGTTTATAATTCCCAGGGAACCTTTGCTTGTGTATCTGCCAGATTCACATCCCAGTGCCTTACTGCAGGGACTGATGCAGAGATGCTCATGGGGCCATGCATCTTCCTCCCCTGGCACTCCCAGATGTCCTGGGAGCTGGTCCCATCACTCCCCCTACTCAGCATGAGGCTCTGTATGAAGGGTCTCTCCAAAAATACTATGGCCAAAATTTTCAAAAATGGCCACTGATTTTGTGTGGCAGGAGCCCAGCTTAAGCCCCCTTAGTATGGGGGTGCAAGACAGTGGGAGCTGCGGGAGCTCAGGCCCAAGGTATCTCAAATTGGGCTCCAAGAAAATGAGCCACTCCAAAAAATCACTGGGCACTTTTGACAGTGCTGGTCTGCATGTTCCACATGCCCATGTTACCTCCCCTCTACATAATTCCCTTTGATGCTGATGGCAAAAGGCCCACAGAATAACGCATTCTCTGGAGCCACAATTCCTGTATAAGTATGAAGATGAATGAGATCGGTGGGAATGGTACCAACTACATCAAGCTGGTCAAGCCCTTCTCACACTTACGATGCGGCACAGTGACTTGTTTTCGTTCACAAGCTTCTCCAGGGACAGGCATTCGATCAGCTCACATGGGAGGAGGGCATCAACCTTGTCCTGTTTATTGGCCAGCCTGGGAGCAATGAGAAGGGAGGAAGGAGAGAGAAGGATAAGACCTCACTGGCCAGCAGAGCTCCTACAGTAGCTCAACGTTGTCTTTCTTCAGCCTCACTCCTGAGTGGGGGTGGAGCCAGGCTAGTGCTGTGGGGAGCTTGTCCAGGGTGGTTGGCATGATTTGGTAACCCTGCAGTTTGAGGTTTATTCAAAGGCAACATGGCAAATTCCAAAGACAGCCAGTGAGGTTCATGTATGAGCTTGTGGGAACTTGCAAGGGCCTGGTAAGCCCAGACCACCACTCTGTGACCATCTGTCCCAAGCTCTGGAATGGGATCAAACAAACCCACCAAACTCAGCCGCAGAAACTCAGACAAATCTGAGGCAGCAAGAAGCTTCACTTTGGGTTTGGCAGAGTCTGGCAAAAGCCCCCAAAAGTTTCCCTAGATGCCTGGCAGGGACAGGTTTTAGTTACACAAGCTTCTTATCTCTAGAGTGGAGGGGACCATGTGAAAGTTTGGGACTGCTGAAGCAGAGGGATGGAATCCACAGTCTCGGTCACATGGACAGGAGAACCCCCAACTGGCTCATGGTTCAGAATGCAGAATTGTGATTTGGGGTAGGCTTTGTTCATCCCTAACATTCACTTCACCCCAGGCCTGCTCCTGTTTGAGTCAATGGCAAAAATTACATTCACCTCAGTGGGATCAGGACTGGCCCCTCCACCTAGCCCTGAGCCTGGGCCCCCACCCTTTCCTTATAACCCACTGTCCTGCTCTGCCGCAGCCCCCCGCTTCACAGATTAACTGCTTTGTCCCATCCATCCCGGCAGTGCAGACACCATGCCAGTGGAACGCAAGGGACTGGTGGAGACACTATGAGATAGGACTGAGGGGCTCAGTGACAAGGGCCTATTTGTTCACATGTTGCCACCACCATTTCCAGAGCAGTTCAGGATGTGCTAAGCTGAGGGAACACAAAGCCATGGTTCCAAACTGATGTGAACAGAACCGTGTGGCTGGGCTTTTCTTTCTGCATCGTGTCAGCCAGGCCCAGTTAACACTCAGAGCACTGAGCCCTATGGGGAGCATACCATCACCCCAATGCTTGGCAGAGTCTCCCGGATAAGCTTCCCCTGTCTCATTCCCTAAAATAACCCACCATACGACAGTAACTGCTGAGTCATGTTAAAACTCAGACACCTTAAGGAGACCCAATGGCAACCAACAAGACTAAGCAGATGGACTATCTGCTCTGTGTGGGAAACCCATGGACCCCTCTACTCTACTGTCTCTTCACCCAGTTTAGACTGACAGCTCCATGGAGCAGGGACCTTCTTTATGCACCTGCAACATGCCAGGCACATCTCTGTGCAATATAACTAATGATCATCACTAAGGCACCCGCAGCTCTACTCTGCAGAGAACACAAGAGAAGTGGGGTCTGCAGAACTATCCATGCTGGTCTCACCTGCACTGTGCTTCTTTCTAATCACCCCACCAGCCCTAATCCAAAGGGACAATCCTCTCTTAATTCAGCTTCCTCATTCGTTCCGATCCTGGGTTCCCCTCACACATGCTGTTTCAGCACTGTGATCCCTGAATATTGCCTTTGAGGTTCCTGCCTGGATGTGCAGCAACCCCATTTACTGGAATGGCCAAGGAGCATTTCAATGCAAGGGAGAGGTAGCCTTACAGTAACAGGGGCTTCCCTGAAATCCTAGTGTGAGCCAGAAGACGGCCCAAGGTTCTCTTGGCCTCTTCCATCCGCAGCACGTCGCTGGAGTCCAGAACAAAGATAATCCCGTGAGCGTCACCGTAGTGATTACGCCATGTGCCCCGCAACCTCTGCCCCCCGGATAGGTCGATGAGGGAGACTTCAAACCGGTCCACTCTGAGTTCTGTCTGGTTAGGCTTTGTTGTGGGGAGCACCTCACACGAGAGCACTGCAGAGAGAACAGCACCCACAGTAACACACACGCAGCCCCCAGACAAACACTGAACATTATTATCCCTTGTTTCCAGATATGGTTTATAGCAAGGATCCCCTGTATTAGCATTAACCCCCTTCAGCTACATTCCTGTTCTCATTTAAAGGGGATACACTGGCAATTCTGGGAAACACCAGGACTACATTCTCTATGGACAGCTCCAGGGAGTTATCTCAGGCCCTTAGCCCCTGGAGTTAAAGTAGGGTGGTCCAGTGGTTAGGGCACTAGCCTGGGCCTTAGGAGACCCAGGTTCAATTCCTTACTCTGCCACAGATGGCTAGTGTGACTCAGGGGAGTCATTTAGTCCCTCTCTGCCTCTATTCCCCATCAGTAAAATGGTGATAATGGGATGGCCCTGAAAGGATAACTGCAATACAGATTGGAAAGTAGTACAGATAGCACAGTGATAGGGGCCAGAAAAATACTGTAGGTAGGTTAATCCTAGGACAGTGTTTGCTGTAGGCTATGGCTATTTCAGATCCATTTCCTGTCTTAAAGTAGATGATTCAAGCAGGGATTAAGTCAGTCTTGGTCAGCATCATGACTTTAGGTCACTGCAGCACAAACTCCTTGCTCTGTAAAAACAACAAGGAGTCCTTGTGGCACCTTAGAGATTAACAAATGTATTTGGGCATAAGCTTTCATGGGCTAGAGCCCACTTCATCAGATGCATGAAGTGAAAAATACAGGAACAGGTATAAATACTTTGTCCTCACCCACAACTATTTCAGATTTGGGGACAATTTATACCTTCAAGTCAGCCTGACTGCTATAGGTACCCGCATGGCCCCTCAGTATGCCAACATTTTTATGGACGACTTAGAACAACGCTTCCTCGTATCTCGTCCCCTTACGCCCCTACTCTACTTGTGCTACATTGATGACATCATCATCTGGACCCATGGGAAGGAGGCCCTTGAGGAATTCCACCAAGATTTCAACGATTTCCACCCTACCATCAAACTCAGCTGGACCAGTCCACACAAGAGGTCCACTTCCTAAACACTACAGTGCTAATAAGCGATGGGCACATAAACACCACCCTATACCGGAAACCTACTAACTGCTATACTTACTTACATGCTTCCAGCTTTCATCCAGACCACACCACGCGATCCATTGTCTACAGCCAAGCTCTAAGATACAACTGCATTTGCTCCGATCCCTCAGACAGAGACAAACACCTACAGAATCTCTATCAAGCGTTCTTAAAACTGCAATACTCACCTGGTGAAGTGAAGAAACAGATTGACAGAGCCAGAAGGGTACTGAGAAGTCACCTACTACAAGATAGGCCCAACAAAGAAAGTAACAGAATGCCACTAGCCATCACCTACAGCCCCCAACTAAAACCTCTCCAGCGCATCATCAAGGATCTACAACCTATCCTGAAGGACGATCCCTCACTCTCACAGACCTTTGGAGACAGGCCAGTCCTCGCCTACAGACAGCCCCCCAACTACACACCACACAACAAAAACACCAACCCAGGAACCAAACCCTCCTACACACCCCGGTGCCAACTCTGTCCACATATCTATTCAAGGGACACCATCATAGGACCTAACCACATCAGCCACACCATCAAGGGCTCATTCACCTCCACATCTACCAATGTGATATATGCCATCATGTGCCAGCAATGTCCCTCTGTGTAGCGGGGTGATCACCCGCTCCAGCCCTGAAGGGGTTGGAAAAGCCCTGCAGAGGGCTGGGTAAAAAGGAGCAAAACCCCAGCTGATTGGGGAAGTGGCTGCAGCTGGGGCCATGCCCCAAACTGAGCCACTCAGCCTTATAAGAAGGCCAGGGTAGTCAGAGCAGAGGAGTCTCCCACTGACAGGAGAGAGAGACAGGCCTGGCTGCAGGGAGCTCACCCGGGGACCTAGAGTGAGGCAGGGCTGGGGAAAGGCCTTGGGGCTGGGAAGCCCTAGGCCAGCAACTCCCTAGGCTGCAGGGCCTGGTCCTAGGCCCATATAGGTATTGGGGTTGCAGAGGGGCAGCCTGAGGGTGGGTAAAGGCAGCCAGTCCAAACCCCTTGTTGCCAGTGATGATTGGCTGATAGACTGCAGTCCGCTCCAGGGCGCGGGGGCTAGATGGTGACTGGCAGTCGCCACGACTGAGGCAACATTGGGATAAGGGGTGGAGGTTCCCCTGGGTGGGGAGACCCAGAGAGAGAGTGGAGTACTGCCGGGGGGGGCAGCACCTAAGCCAAGGGCACCGGGGTCTGGGAGGGACATGGGGGCCAACGACAGGCGGATCACCGGCCTGCAGAGGGCGTTCCAGAGGCTGGTGAGCTAATTCCCTGGACGACCAGCAGGAGGCGCCGCAGATGTGAGTCCACGCCTGACTACACTCTGCCATGTACATTGGCCAAACCGGACAGTCTCTATTCAAAAGAATAAATGGACACAAATCTGACATCAGGAATCATAACATTCGAAAACCAGTAGGAGAACACTTCAATGTCACTGGTCACTCAATAACATACCTAAAAGTGGCAATTCTTCAACAAAAAAAACTTCAAAAACAGACTCCAACATGAAACTGCAGAACTGGAATTAATTTGCAAACTGGATACTATCAGATTAGGCCTGAATAAAGACGGAGTAGTTGGGTCATTACAAAACCTAAACTTAAACTTAATTTCCCCATTACTAATTTCTCCCTACTGTTACTCACACCTTCTTGTCAACTGTCTATAATGGGCCACTCTCTTACCACTTGAAAAGTTATTTTCCTCCCTTGGTATCTTGCTGTTAATTGATTTAGCTCATTAGACTGACCTCACACTTGGTAAAGCAACCCCCATCCTTTCATGTATTTATATCTGCTCCTGTATTTTTCACTTCATGCATCTGATGAAGTGGGCTCTAGCCCACGAAAGCTTATGCACAAATAAATTTGTTAGTCTCTAAGGTGCCACAAGGACTCCTCATTGTTTTTGCTGATACAGACTAACATGGCTACCACTCTGAAATCTGTCTCCTTGCTCTGTGACACCCCTGTTCAGAGACCTATCCTAAATCCTGGCAGATTTGGCCTCGGCACATGGCCTGGGGGGAGGGGGGAATAGCCCCATCCTGTCACCCTCTTTCCTATTGTGCAATGGCAGGTTAGGTTAATCCTAGCAGTATATCATGACTCTGTTGATTGTTTTAGAGTGGCCAAATGGCTCGGCAGGAATCCCAGGGACTGAGGCCTGTCGATCTTATCCCCTAGGTTTAACCTGAGTGGATACCCCAGTACTACATTTCTGTTGCATCTGGCTGTCTAAATCCCAGTTCTGCGGAAGGGGCTGTTGTATTCCAGACACTCTACAAGTCTAGATGCATCATGCTGTACGCCTGCATCCTGTGTAACAGCCTGATGCAGTGAATTCAGATCTCTGATGCTCAGCAGTGGCTTGGTCCTCAAGCCCCGCAGAGAGTGAGTGATACAGACTGTCCGAGTCCACATTCCCTAGGCTGGACTTGGACAAACAATGTCAGCTACATAAAGTTACCTAATAGACATGAGAAAGTCAAACTCTGCTACCAGAGCATAAAGACACAATTAGGATCCAATTTTGACCTCACAGGATTATTACGATGCTGCCTCCTGCAGAGGATGGAGGGGAATAATTGGAAGCACAGAAAGATTTATCCCCTCAGTGATGGGGAGATTTGAAGTTATTTGCAAAGAACAATAAACTCTTTGCCTCTGGCGTCATGTCAGCTCATCTGAGACTCAGGGTATGCCTACACTGCAATCAGAGGTGTGACTGCAGCACAGGTAGACACAGCAACAAAGCTGAGGTACTGCAGGTAGCAGCCTGGGCTGTGCAGCCCTGCCCAAGACCCTGCTGCTGGTGGTGGCTTCAGTACTGCTGTTATTGGAGCTAGCTGGATCAAAGCTAGCTCGGATATGTCAACACATGCTGCACTCTCACCTCTGACAGCAGCATAGACATATCCCCAGATTCCAGCAGTAACCGGAGACAGCTAGCTCCTCACCTCTCTGTATCTCCATTATGAGGGAGGTTTTCCCTGTATTGTCCAGGCCCACGACAAGGAGGGTCACTTTCCTGATGAGGAAGAAAAACAAAGTTAGCCTGCAACGAGGAGATATTCTCCCCTCCAAGCTATGGGACTGTGATCTCCAACTTGAAATGGTCATCACAGCCAACAGGGATTTCCCTACCCCCCCGCCATGGGGGTGTTTACCCCCCCTGAATTTCCCCAACATCTTCCCCCCCCCCAGTTTTGTGAACTAGTTACATGCAGTGTTGCCAATTTAGTGATTGTTTGGAAATTTGAATTGAAATTGAAACATTAATACACACTTTAAAAGCATATAAAGTGTATCATAAAATTAGTGTATTTGAAAAAGTATAATAGATTTGAAAAGTCTGAACATAGATTAGCTTCCTTATGCAGCTGTTGTTTTTTATGACAATGTCAGTGCATTCATTTTGGTGATGTTGGCCAACCTAATAATTTCAGATTATGATTTGTAAGCAAAGTCTAAATGAGATCTCCCTGACAGCTAGTAATTAGCTAGGGGTTGGAGAGAAAGGCTTCAGGATCAGATTGTATTTACATTCACACCTAATCTACCTAGGTATCCAGCAAACAGAGCTACGTTGCCCAAGTGATAGATTTTGGCTGGGGTTGGGTTACAAATCACTTGAATGCGGGGGGGGGGGGGGGGG